TGGCCACAAACTCCTAGAAGACCATTTCAGGTCTAACATTAGGAAACAACTTCTCCACAGTCAGGGTGTCCAGACTGTGGAATAAACTTCCCCCAGAGGTGGTGCAAACATCTACCCTGGAAAATCTTCATGAGAAGACTGGACAGTCACCTGACCCCAGTTGTCTTTCCTGACTAGTGCAAATATCTTGTAAGGTCCCTTCCAGCCCATTACAATCTATGAAGCGTTTACTCTTGAACCAATGAAAGCAAACCCAAAGAACACATTCCACCTAACAACATCTTCAAAACCACTGACTCAAGGGCTTGAAGCATGCAACATCTTTACAGCACCTGAAACGTGCAGGTAACAACTATATTGGGCGTTTTACAAGCATATAAATGAGGTCCGAATCTCAAGTCCAGCTGAACCAGCATAGTCTCCCACATTGGGGAGGAAAAACAATGGCTCTGGAGTGGCACCAGATCTACTGTTCTCTTTACTGGAGTTCACAGACCATGCAAAAGCCCTGGTTTCAAGAAACAGTGCAAGCCCTATGGGATAGGTACTTGAAGAGCACCTACTACAGCTATTACATGCTGTGTTTAGATGTGTCATAAAAGTTCTCTCAAGGTAATGTTGGGCAAGTGACTCTCAAGGATTACCTGTATAACCTTGGACAAGTCACTTGTTCTGTGCCTAAGCTCACCATCAGGAAAATGAGCTTGATAGCACTTAAATACCTTATATAACAAGGCCCTCCAATGCTGTGGTGATGAGGGACATGCAAGTGCCTAAAACAGACAAGATTAAACATCTGCAAAGGCAGAGATGTAGTGAGCCATTCTGTGCAATTAGAATTTCTTCAAACCCACTGTCTACCGATTCCCCTCCCTACCCCATGCACTGTAACCTGGAATCAATTTATTGCTACCTTATGGAGTTGAGTTCAAGCTACAGAGTTCAGATCCAAATCTAAAACGTTGCCAGATTCAAGAGACTCGTACCCAACACTTTGCTTCTGTCCAAGAGAAAGACAGGAACCAGCTGCAGACCTCAGATCCAGACTTACTGAGCTCCCAGATATTTGGCTTTAGACCACTGATTCTGAACCAGGGTGTGGTGGCACCTTGGGGTGCCTTTAGATCTTTTCAAGGGTACCATGACATGCCATACAATAATAGTAGTTACATTTGCAAACATGATTCACAAAAAATCCAGAGATTTCAAATAGGAATTCACAGCATTAAAACCATTCTGACTGTTGTGGTCTTCGCAAATTCTTTGTGACAGAAAATTGTTCTATTATTTTTCTGTAATCAAAATGTGAGAGAAAGCTAAGAGCTGGCATTTTCTGAGAAGTGCCCTGAGTCTAACAAGGGGTCTCTTGGGTCTAAAAAGACTGAGAAGCACTGGTTAAGATTCAGGCTGCTTTAGAGAATTACTCAGTGTTTGATGAGTGTTTCCCCCCCCCATCTCCCACTCCAGATTCAGCCATCTCATTTGACAGGTTTCATTTAAAGCACTAAGTAATAACATTACCTAATTCCACTCCCACATGTTAAGCTTGCAACTCAACTCTCACCGTGTGAATTTTCATTAAACAATATTTCACATACGCCTGTTAGGAGGCTTGGCTTTCGGCAAATTCTTTTAGATTATTAGATGGCTAGTGAAAAAGCAATGCCTTATTGAGGGGTGGGAGAGGATACTCACTTTGCAAGGCAAGGAAAGTAATGCTTTGCATAGTTCCTTCTCTAGAGCAGTGGTTCTCAACCTTTGGTACCTTATGTACCCCCTGCTGATTGAAAAGGAAAAAGTGAAACCAGAAGACCCACTGTGACACTTCTAATTTCGCTGCCACGAGCCAAGTCCCACTTTTTCCACTGCAGCCTGGGGCAAAGCAGCCTGCGCGGGGCCTCCCTCTCTATCCCCCGGCGCACTGACGCTGGGGAGTGAAAGCCCCAGCGTAGCAGACATGCCAGGAAGGGTGGCAGCTGGAACTTCCAGCCCAAGCAGGCAAAGACCAAAATGCAGCACCCATGTACCCCCTGCCCGTGTCTTGCGTACCCCCCAGGGGTACACGTACCACAGGTTGAGAAACACTGCTCTAGAGTCTGGATTTTGAGATGAGAAGTTTAAGGCCTCGAATCTCAAATCCAGCAGCAAAGTTTAAAACTAGGCTTGGATGGCAGTTGCATTGCTAATTCAGTTATCAACAAACTGTAAGGAAATGAAGTTAAGGACTTTCATTAGTAACCAGGAAAAAGGGAAGATCACCTTAACTTGTCACTGGTAAAAGAAACAGCAAACTCATTGGGTCTGGCTTTAAAAAAAAAAAAAAAAAAAAAAAAAAAAAAAAGTTTTCTTGTAAGCAGAAGGTGCATATGTTCTTCCCAGGTAGGGGAAAATCGTAAGAAAGAAGAAAGAGTTGGTATCTTTCAGCAGAAACCTGAAAATATTCATTCAGTCCTGCACTGCAGCACCAGCCAACTTTGTGCCCTCCAGGTTCACACCATATCCCTATTTTCCACCCTCATGTTTCACTAGTATGAGTATATTCTCATACAAACCCCCCCCCCCCCCCAAAAAAAAAAAAAACAAACAACTCAATGCATCTCAGTAGGAGGTACGATTTCAAACCTCGTGTAAACAGGAACACACATACAAGGCTCTGTGTATTGTTGTTTCAAGGTGCTTGTTTATTGTCAAGTGTATGAACTAGCTTCTGCTAAAGGCAGCTCCCATCAGAGTCTGAACCTAGAAATCAAAGCAGCCCTGCTGTTTAAGACACAGAAACAATATTTCTTCTACCAGATAAAACTTTGTGCAGCACATGGAATACCCAAACCATCAGTCCTCAGCTAGAGGCAGAGTTCATCATTTGTGGCTATGGAAGCTGGGTAGGAAAAAAGACTGCTCCAATTTCTGCTTGCATACCTCTGCATGGAAATTTTGCTAGTTCAGTGCCATAGGCAGAATGGTTTGGCAGCAGGGAAGGGATGCCTCAAGAGCCATGAGCAGTAAGATCTATCAAGATTCCTGTGCTATGAAAGAGATTCTTTCCCAAGAGGTATTGGCTAATATTCCATACTACACAAGCATGTAAACCCAAGATCACATGAGAAACTTTGACTCTGCCACAGTAGAAGAATATTTGCCCTGTGTTGTTAGATTACAATTAGCTGGTGTAGCAGCTGCCAAGTAAAGGTCACTGGTTGCCCATTCATTTTCCAGTGTAACCTTTTAGGACAACTCAAAAAATCAAGATGTTAGGGCAGCCTGTGCAAAGCTGTGGGTCTGGACAGTAACATATCCTTTCACATCTGAGTCTTCACCAAGTTCTCAAACAATTCTAAAACCTCCCTCTATAAAACAAACAAAAAAAGGTTTAAGTGGTAACCTGACCTTTAGCCATGCAAACTACTAACAAGGCCTTCTACCTACCAAGACTGCTACAGCCTGTTGCAAGATGCATTCACACAAACAGACCTAAGGACATCAACTTGATTAACTGAAGAAAGAAGAAAACTTCCTCTCTGCCCAGTCAGTGAGAGCTGCACTGAATACATTGGACAAAGGTTGCCTCATCACTTTAATATGTAGTATGGTACTGGGAAGCCAATATAATACATTCACATCCTCTGGAAGCACTTCTGCGATTAAAGCTCTTATAAATGCAAATGTTATATATAATAATAATAATAATGCTGATAAAACCATTTTTCCCCTTTCCAAGCACGTGAAACCAATAAAATGTTACCAGCATCCAAAGGCATGGTCTCAAGATTCCAAACTAATAGCGAAGACTGAAAGATGCTGCTGTTTAGCACTATCCAGTGTCCTGGTAAAAGAAAGAACAATCTTGTGGCACACACAGTACTAGTAGTTAGGCTAAATATAGCTGGCCATTAAGGCAGATTCTCTTTTCTTACATTACGTGCCCAAATGCAGATATTCTTTCATTTTCACACCCCTTAAAGGGACATTTCCATTCTTTTGATGAAGGATTTATTTTATTTTATTTATTTTTTTAATGTTTAGAATACTTCTCTGCTTCTTCGCTGAGGCTTAAAAGAAGTCTTTCATGCAGATCCAGAGCAACACCCAAACACATCAGCCCACGTCCCTTTTGTTCCTCCTTGCTGTGGACACAGTTAAGTTTTGCTACTGAGTTACAAGCAATCAATCTCTTTGCAGGCACGAGGAGCTTCTAAGTAACGTCATCACTTCAGCACATGAAAGGAGCACAACAGACCAGCCACAAGAAAAAAAATCTGATGCTACAAACGGTTGTAAAAATGCATAAAATGAACTCGGAAAACCCAAGAAAGTTACATTTCCCTGCTGAGTGTACAGTAGCAGGGAACTGAGTTAATCCAACAATAAAAGTGTCACAAAATAGCAGTATTTTCTAGCTGACAGCATCCCTTTACACTAGAGCACAGAGGAAATGCAACCATTTAGAACTGCCAAACAGAAAGAACCAACCACTGCTTGATCCCCCCAGGAAGTGGGCCAATAGCAAACAGCAGCGACTTCATGTTGTTTAGTACAGAAGAAAAGTCTTTTCGCATGGATCCTTCCAGAAGTTTCACATGCAGGAAACAGTTCTGCTTTCTTCTTTTAAGCCATGCTATATTTAAATGCAATGAGCACAGATTAAACACAGGCTAATCATAAACAGTGTCATCAACTTGGAGACAAGAAAAGCTTAACCAGGGCATTAGCTTTATAATTGCACCTGATAATTATAAGACTCTACAAGTTAAGGTGATATGTGCTTAACAGCAGCAAACATAATTCCTTTCCAGAGCCAAATGTTTGAATCATCCACTGTTCAGGCAAGAAAAAAAATTGTGGGACTGGGGGGGGGGGGGGCAGGGAGCAGGAAATTGAGGCCGTATGCCACTGAAAACCACCAGAGATTTTGCAAGTTTTATTTAAAGAATGGGGTAGGTTTCTGCCTTCACTTTATTATAATTTTAAAAATTAAAATATTAAAAAAAAATTTTACTCACCTGTATTACTTCTATCCCTCTTTTCCTAGGGGGGTGGGAAAAGAAAAGAAAAAAAGGTTACTTTTGTGAACGGCATCGTAAGTCAAATGCTTACAAAAATGCTCTATTTGATGCTAGTATACAAGAGAAAAACTGTACATTTCAGTGAGTGCTTGTGCTGTCCTAAACAGGGAAAAATTTCAGCATGTAATTAACATTTTCCTAAACTGGGATCTAGGGAACAGCAAGCACATGTAAACAATGCTGCACTGGTATAATCTGCGTGACTACCAACCAAAAAGAAGCATATAAGACTGCAAGCTAAAGGAGTGTTGCACTTTGAATTGTTCTTTCCCTGATATCCCTCCCCTAAGTGAATCTAGTGAGGGAATTTCACCAGAGTAAGTTCCCACAGAATGAGTGAAATTCAGAAGTCACCTGTAAGGGGATGCAAGTTGAGTCAAACAGTCTTTCTGGACTTTAGGAAGGCCTTCGACACTATCTCTCACCCCATTCTCATTAAAACACTAGGGGACTGTGGCATCGATACCTACACAGTCAGATGGGTCACTAACTGGCTGGAGGGCTGCACCCAGAGAGTGGTGGTGGACGGGTCATTTTTGACCTGGAGAGATGTGGGCAGTGGGGTCCCCCAGGGCTCGGTCCTCAGGCCCGTACTGTTCAACATCCTCATCAGCGACTTGGACGAGGAGGTAAAAAGCACCCTGTTCAAATTCACAGATGATACCAAGATGTGGGGGGAAATGGGCAGGTGAGAAGGGAGGAATATGCTGCAATCAGACCTGGACAGGTTACAGGGGTGGGCAGATGAGAACAGGATGGGATTCAATACCGACAAGCACAAGGTACTGCACCTAGGGAGGAAGAACCAGCAGCAGACCTATAGGCTGGGGAACTCCCTTCTCGTCAGTGCAGAGGCAGAAAAGGATCTTGGAATCATTATTGATGCCAAAATGAACATGGCCCGACAGTGTGGGGACGTGGTCAGAAAGACCAACCGTACCTTGTCATGCATCCACATATGTAGCTCAAGCAAGTCCAAGGAGGTGATCCTCCCCCTCTATGTGACACTGGTCAGGCTGCAGTTGGAGTACTGTGTCCAGTTCTGGGCGCCGCACTTCAGGAGGGATGTGGACAGCATTGAGAGGGTCCAGAGGAAGGCCACCCACATGATCAGGGATCAGCAGGGCAGGCCCTACGAGGAGAGGCTAAGGGACATGAACCTGTTCAGCCTCCACAAGAGAAGGCTGAGGGGGGATCTAGTAACCATTTACAAACTAGTTGGAGGGGGTGAGGGGGGTGGGGGGGGAGAAAATCAGCAGGCATTGAGAGTGTCCCTGTTCCCCTGAGCACTACCAGGAGTCACAAGAAATAACAGCCACAAGCTGGCAGAGGGTAGATTCAGACTAGATATCAGGAGGCGCTACTTCACAGTCAGGGCGGCTAGGATCTGGAACCAACTTCAGAGAGAAGAAGTGGTGCTGGCTCCTACCCTGGGGGTCTTTAAGAGGCTAGATGAACACCTTGCCGGGGTCATTTGACCCCAGTACTCTTTCCTGTCACAGCAGGGGGTCGGACTTGATGATCTGCTTGGGGCCCTTCCGACCCTACCTACTATGAAACAAGTATGTGATTAAGTTACTGCGCTTACCCATGTCCCTGTATTATGATCATCAACTCCCATATACACACACACAGACAGAATGATTTATAACAATAAAACCTACTCCATTTTCAACCCTTGCAGGGAAGTCTTTTAACATGTTTCAAAAAAGTTAACAAGTTACACGAGTCAAACAAGGTCAGAATAGAAACTACTTAACACATGGATCCAAAGATGGGGAGATCTCTGGTCACTCCTGCTGGAGCAAACCAAAAAAGTTTTGGACCTCACAGGAACCTTTGTCCACCCTGCACAAAGTTCCAGCTGTAAGGGAGGCAGTTCCACAATGCCTGGAAAGCAGGACTGGCAAGAGCAGCCAGGAGGCAAGACCTTGGGAGATCTGTTCAATCTGGCAAGAAGCTGGTGCTGAAACCAATTAGGCTCATCTCTAAACTCAGCCCTTCAGCCTAACTGGTGAAGCAGCTCATACCTATCTAGGCAGAAAGATTCGTTTATTCATTCTTTATATCTAACAAGTTATCAGCACACCAGACCTCCCCCACCCCCTAACCCCACTTCCCTCCCCAAAACACAGTCACAGCTATCCCATGCCACTTTTGTAGTGTGGGCAGAGGCTACTGAAACGCAGTAAGCTTTCCGTTTACAAACAAGAAAAAGAACATTTTGGTTATTGAGGAAAAGCTTCAAAAGTGATGTGAAGTCAGGATCCCTTTTCCTGATCTCCACTATTTCCTCATGTGAAAAAGACCCTTCAAGCAGTCCTCAAAGAGGAGTGAATATACCTGCATACGATTTCCCTCCTCTCTTAAAAAAAAAAAAAAAAAAAAAAGTCTACATCAGTTGCTGTTGCTCTGAGCAAGTATGGGGTGTACTTGTTGAATTCATTATGATTACTCCAGTAGTCTGGAGCCCAGTGCAGCCTCTCATTCTTCTGGAAGACTATTACAAAACTGTCCAAGGAAAAGAGGCTACCTCAAGCTCTGGGGTTACTGGGGGCTAGGAGAAGCATTCCCTGTTGGTACATACAAATAATCATTAGCTTGCTGCTCAGCAAGAAAACAAAAATTAAAAGTAGGAGTAAATGAAATCAAGGCACCTAAGAAAGAGGAGCATTTCCAGTGTCACTTACAGATAAAGCCCTTCAGTAACTGATGAACAACTTACAAATTGCTCACAACCTGTCCACACTGCTACAGACTAACATGCAGCAAATTAGGTTACTCAGATCCCTACTGCTAGCCCTGTTTACAGGAGAGATTTTCATTTGGCAAAGAAAACATTAATGATAATACTAACATAACCAGTATCAGGGAGAGAAAGAATTTAAGTGGGCAGGGAGAGCTTAGTAAACAACTGGAGCAGCTCAGGTCAGGAGCATTCTGAGCATCTCAAAATATCCAAGCGCTTGAGCTTACAATGAGCAAACGGGTTACATATTGCTGCCTTGTAATAAGCAAGACGACTGAGGCTGCCATTGAAATATGCCTCTTTTGCCTCCCAAGATAGAGGCACGGAAAGAGGCAAATTTAGGTGGTGGGAAAAGTAGTACATGAGTGTGTACACAGACCAAAGTTTGTTCTGCTTTCAAGGAAGAAAAAGCTGGTTGCCAAAGCCACTTGAGTATCATTCAGTCTGAAAGCTTTTAAAATCCTAATAAAAATGGACTTTACACATTTATTAGGATTTGCTGTAAACAGACTGTACTACAAAAGCAAGAGCAAGTCTAAGAACAAAATTAGACTAGCTCCTTACTTTTCAATTCAGCTGAGTGCAGGAGAACATGACCATGTTGGATACAAAGTCAGTGGAAGTTTAAAGAACTGAGGGAAAGAAGGAAAAGGTGCTAGTTTACCTTGCTGGGCTTGTCTACATTTTTTCTAGGAGGTGATTTCCTCTGTAGTTATTTGAAATGCTGCAACATTTCACCCTCAAAACCAAGGGACAAAGAAACCACGGAAGTTACGTATTTTGAACAGTAACTCACTGGGCTGGAGCCTTTACTGAAATAGCATTGTTCAAAGTTCTCTGAATCAGCAAGAGATGCTCAAACAAGACTAATAACTGCATTGCTCATTTCAGGGTTAAGATACTCTCACCACAGATGTTTTAAACCTCATCTGGACAGATGCAGGCATCATACCTTTGCATGGTTTCTGTTGGGTAAATTCCTCGGATAAGAAGCCTCCGTATTAGCCAAGAGACTAAACCCTACCCAAACTAAACTGAAAACATCCTCCAAATACAATCTATGTGCATTATATATTCCCAAAATATAAAACGGCAGCAACTTGTACCAGAAGTTACTCCCAACTCAGACATTTGCACTGAGGACAGAGAATGATTAAAAGCACTATTATAAATGTGATCAAAAAAATTCTCTCTCCAAGGGCCACATCAAGTGTAGGGCACAGATGCAAACAGCTAGATAAGATAATGTCACCAGAGATGAGTGCCTACAAAAGGCAACAGCTATACCAAAGATGCTCTGTTCCAGCCTGGCTCTTCTGAGTGTTACCATGCTCCTTCTTGTGGGCAAAGGAGCAAACTCCTTTGGAGGCTGCAATGATTTCAGAACCATCAGTTCAGCCCCCTCGTCTCCCAAACAGTACAGAAGCAACAAGCCCCTGTATTCTGACTACTACCTACATGGCTCCAGCAAAGGCCTGGGCAGCTACAAATTAAAACCTACATTGGCTGTACAAAAGACAGCATGGGACAAGAGCCCTGCAAGGGTGTTAAAGCTTTTCCCTCTTCCCTTGGAATAGGCAATGCAACAGGCCACAGGGTGACTGTAGGTTTTCCGTTAATACAGGTCATGCACATGCTAAAAGGTCAGTGCTAAACTACACCCTAGTAGCCATTATTTCTGAAGCACTTGGTTCTAAATAACAAAAGCTCCCACCTAGTTCTACATTCCAATCATCAGCCTAGAAAAAAAAAAAAGAAAAAAAAAAGATTATCCACAGTTATAAACCTGTGAAAAAGGTGGCTTATGCTAGGGGTGAAAAAAATTCCCAGACAGATCATTTGTAGCAAATCTCTAATGCCACAAGCTGTTTTTCTATGCCTGGAGCTACAGAAACCCATTCAGATGTGGCACCAAGGACTGACTCTAGCTTCTGGTTTATTTCCCTTTCAGCACAGGGCTCAGCATCAAATTCGCTGCTCAACAGGAAGCGGTTGTTGCTACATGTGAAGATCTAAAAGGAATATTAACTAGTCATACTTTAGTAGCACAGCATTAGCTTTCAATGCAAAAAAGAAACAAAACAAAATTGGAAGCTTGTTATAGCTTGTCGTTTCCATGCTTGAAATTGCTGAAAAGTTATTTGATGAAGCAAACTCTACAACATGGAAAAGCAATTAAAGTGTTTAAGGTGTGAGCTTTTTGGATTAATTTA